TTTCCCGTTCCGTAGGTTACAGTTTCACTCCACTGAATGTGTACTCTGATGCACTGAAATTTTCAAGTTTGTTGTAGTCCCATATGTCTATTTTTGCTTTTGTGGTCTTTGCTCTAGGTGTCATATCTAAGAAATCATTGTCATGTCCAGTCTTTTCCCCTGTTTTCTTGGAGCTGTATAGTTTTAGATCTTATACTTAGGTGTTTAATCCATTTTGAGTTAATTTTTGTATATCGTAAAAGAATCTAAGTTCATTATTTTGTATGTGGATATGCAGTTTTCCTATCACCATTTGTTAAACAGACTGTCCTTTCCTCATTAAATTGGTACCCTTGTTGAAGATCATTTGACTAGACATGTGAAAGTTTATTTGTGGGCTTTCTATTCTTTTCCATTGTGTATTTGTCGGTTGTTATGCCAATACTACAATTTCGATTACTGTTGTTTTGTAATATTTTTTAAAATCAGGAAGTTTGAGTCTTCTAACTTTGTTCTTTTTAAAAATTGTTTTAGCTATTTGGGATCCCTTGAGATTCTGTAGGAAATTTAGAATGAATTTTTCTATTTCTTCAAAAAAAAAATGCCATTGAGATTTTGATAGGGATTGCATTAAACCTGTGAATTGCATTGAGAAGTCTTGGCTTTTTTTTTTAAGATTTTATTTATTTATTTGACAGACAGAGATCACAAGTAGGCAGAGAGGCAGGCAGAGAGAGAGGAGGAAGCAGGCTCCCTGATGAGCAGAAAGCCCGATGTGGGGCTCGAACCCAGGACCTGGGATTATGACCTGAGCCGAAGGCAGCGGCTTAACCCACTGAGATACCCAGGCGCCCCGAAGTCTTGACTTCTTAACAATATTAAATCTTCTAATCTGTGAACACAGTATCTTTTCATTTATTTGTGTCTTTTAAAATTTCTATTAGCAGTATTTTATAGTTTTCAGTATACACATCTCCTACTTTGGGGGTTAAATTTATTCCTTAGTATTTTATTCTTCTTGGTGCTACGTTAAGTGGAATTATTTTCTTAATTTCTTTTTTTAGATTGTTCATTGTTAATATATAGAAATGCAACTGATTTTTCTGTGTTTGTTTCCTATCATGCACTTTTACTGAATTTACTAGTTCTAACAGCTTTTTAATGGACTCTAGTTTTTTTTTTTTTACACACAAGATCATGTCATATGTGAACAGAGGTGATTTTACTTCTTCCTTTCTGATTTGGATGTCTTTTATTTGTTTTTCATGCCTAATGGCTCTGGCTAGGATTTTCAGTATTATGTCCGATACTGTGAGTGGATGCGGTTAGAGTCAGCATCCTTGCTTCGTTCCCAGTCTTAGAGGAAAAGCTGATAGTCTTTTACCACTGAGCATGATGTTAGCTGTGGGCTTTTCATCTATGGCCTTTATTATGTTGAAGTAGTTTCCTATTATTCTTAGTTTGTTGAGGGTTTTTTTAATCATCAAAGGATGGTGGATCTTGTAAAATGCTTTTTTCTGCATCAACTGAGGTGACCATGTGGTGATGTTAACTTCTAAAAATAATTTTCTTGAAATATACACAGAGAAGTATGTACATATCAATATACAACTCAATTCATAATGGCATTTTCACATAATTATGTGGTAAGAGTGGTAATTATCACATAACAGCCTCCCAAGTCAAGACATAGAACTGTACCAGCACCCCAGAAACTGCCTTCCTGCCCCTCCAAGTTCCCATCCTTCTTCAAAGACAGTCACCTATCTTGACTTTAAACACCACAGATTGGTTTTTATTCTATTTTGAACTTTCTATAAATAAAGTGCTATATGTATTTTGTCTGTCTTTCACTTAAACTATATTTTTGAAATTTATCTGTGTTGTTTCCTGTTCACTAGTTCATTAATTTTCATTGCTGTATAGTAGCCCATTGGATGAATTAGATAAGATTTACCATTTACTATCCAGGGACATTTAAGTTGTTTACAGTTTAAGACTAGTGAAGAGTAGTGCTGCTTTATACACCTTCATGTACTTTTTTTGGTGCATGTGTGCATGCATTTCTTTTTGGTAGACTAGGAGTCTAGTAACTAGATCATAACTGGGTCATAGAATATTTATATGTTCACTTTTGGTAATATCAGGGACACCTGGGTGGCTCAGTGGGTTGAGCCTCTGCCTTCAGCTTGGGTCGTGATCTCGGGGTCCTAGGGTCAAGCCCCACATAGGGCTCTCTACTCAGCAGGGATCCTGCTTACCCGTCTGCCTGTCTCTCTGCCTACTTATGATCCCTGTCTGTCAAAGAAATAAATAAAAATTCTTAAAAGAATATCAAAGTAGTTTCCAAAGTGGTTTTATGAATTTCCACTCTCATTCCATTTGAGTGTGCCAGTTGCCCATAGCCTCCTTGATGCTTGATACTGTCAGTCTTTTTCATTTTTATGGTCCTAGGGAGTGTATGAAGACATTTCATTATGATTTTTAATTGACTTTCTCCTAGTAGTTAATGAATTTGTGAATCTCTTCGTATGTTTATTGGTCTCTTGAATTTCCACTTTTGTGAAGAGCATATTCAAGTCTTTTGGCATTTTTCAATTTTTTTTTAAATCAATTTGTAGGAGGCCTGTATAAATGTAGAATATGTGCTGTTTTTTCAGTTTCATATGTTGAAAATAGCTTCTTTCATTGTGTGGCGTGCCTTTTCATTTTCTTAAAGATATTTCTAAATGAATAGTAGTTCTTGATTTTAATGAAGCTCAGTATTCATTTTTCTTTATGATTTAAGAAAGATAATTTTTAACCTGTCTAAAAACACTTTTTTTGTGGTTATGAAGATATTCTTGTATATTATCTTTTAGAAGATTTTTGTTTTACATTCAGATCTGCATTCTACCTAGTATTAGTTTTTTTTATATTGTCTAATTTGACACTAATTAAAATTTCAGACTTAAAAGTTGTGAGAGTAATATAGAGATACTTAGCTTTTCTTTATCCAGATTTCCCAAATGTTAATATTTTGTTATATTATTGCTCTACAGATACTAAATATTGATATATAGATTTTAGATAAAAATAGTGATGTGATGGAACCATCTTGTATACCAAAGTTGATTGTTAAAAATCAGGAATTTTCAGGACAGTTTTTAAACCACAGTAGCTTGAAATGAGCCATAGGGGGTATTATTACATGAAAATTTATAGATACATCAAGTCTTTCCCCTTTTTGCATATATATCAAATATTACGTTATTAAAAACAAAATAGATACATAACTTAAAACAAGTGGTTGTAGTCACAAGATGAGAATGTAGGAATTAGAAATAACAATTAGAAGAAATTGATTTGAAGGAAAAGCTGACAGGACTAAAGGAATTTTTAGGTTTCTAAATGCATCATTTCAGTAGCATGACTGTAGTTTCTAATTTGCAGGCTTAAATAAAACCTTTGCACATAGTGTGGTGGATATATCGATGTAAGGAAGCAGTTCATAAGTGAAACTTCTGATGTTTTAGAGCTTTGAAAAGAATAAAATTAGAGATAATGCCTTAAGTGGAATGATAATGTTAAAACATAGCATGTGGCTTCAGATCCAATCTATAATAATACTGTTCTTGGAATTAACTAGAGGTTCAGAAGAAATTTGTGTATTTGTAAGCTTTCAGTTCACCTCTTGAAACTAAACTATGATTGTATCTTCAGCATTACTCTCTAAAATTCAAGGAATAATGGTGGTTTGCAGTTTCAGCTAAAGACATTACGTAAAATATTACAAATAACATAATGACAAAATAAAAAGCACTCAATGGTGTTTTTTTTTTTTTTTATTTACTAATTTTACAAAGTGATTTATCTGTAAACTTTCTCTGGTTACTCCTGTTAGCTTCCCTAAATGTCTGTTTGACAAGCAAAAGAGAAAATAATGCATTGACTCTTTCCTGTCTTACAACTTCAGCATATTCAGAGTGAAATTATTTGACATGATTTATTCACTGTTTTTTTTTACTTTTTTTTCACTGATTTTATCAGACTTTAAGAAATACAGCAATATAGATTAAGCCAGAAGTTAGATTTTGCCCCTTTATATATGTATGTATATATCATGTGTTCATATGTATAATATATGTATGTTTAAAACCAGTATAAATATATGTATATTCTATGTACATACAATATTTAATATGTTTAATGTCATGCATTATTATGAAGTAATATAAAATATTGCATACTGTGGTCTTCAATATAAAATCTTGAGTAGATAGCTATCAAATTTTTAAAAAAATCTTATAACAATTTTTATATATCTAAATAGAAATTTGTTTTTTAGGTTAAATCAACCTGTATGAGAGTTTCTGCAAAGATTCAAGACTTTAAAATAAATAACATGAATTTAATATCTTACAAAAGTTAAACATCTTGACACTGCTGAATTTCAGAATCCTACAAGCATCAAAAATGTTTGTAATTCTGCTTTTTTGTCTGAATTTGGTAAAACTTATGATCAAGTTTAGTTATGTTCAGCTTTTCTTGTAATTAGCTGACATTTTATTGGTTGGTATTGTATATGGTAGATATACCATCATTTGCTTACATCAAGTCTTTTACTTTTTTTTAAAAAGATTTTATTTATTTATTTAATAGAGAGATCACAAGTAGGCAGATAGGCAGGCAGAGAGGGAGAGGGAAGCATGCTCCCCTCCGAGCAGAGAGCCTGATGTGGGGCTTGATCCCAGGACCCTGAGACCATAACCTGAGCTGAAGGCAGAGGCCTAACTCACTGAGCCAGGCTCTCCATATACTGGCTTTAATGTTTCTTGTATACATTGTCATACAGTTGGCTAAGTTGTAAGAAATGTATTTTCCTTAAACATTTTTTTGACAGACAAGACGTAGTCAGCAGTATTGTAAAATTTCCTTTCACAAGAATATCATTTTAGTTATGAGACAAATCTTGAATGTATTATACTTTAATATATTTTTAAGGATGTACACACAGATGGGCATATATTTTTGTTTTTCAGAATTGGAAGATTATCCAGTATATTAATGTCTTATTAATAATGGCAGAACATCCACCACTATTGGATACAGCTCAGATTTTAAGTAGTGATATTTCTCTTCTGTCTGCCCCTATTGTAAGTGCAGATGGAACACAACAGGTAAGGAAACTGAAATTTTTATTTCTTTATGTCTCGTACACAAATATTTCTTTCAGAAGAATGCAAATTTTTAAAAAAAGAATGAAACTTCACAATAGTGGGTTCCTGTTAATTCATCTTTTAAACTCCAGTTCAAAATGTTGTTTTGGTTTCATAAACAATGAAATAATGAGACTGTTTTTGAAGTTGCTTCTAAAATGTCTTGCTAATTAATGTTTACATTTCTTGTGTGTATCTTTAGTTGCCTCTAAAATTGTTTTTGTTTTACTTTAGACAATGTATTAGTCCCTGATTGGTTTTTAAGTTTAACTCTGCACTTTAATGATTATTATAAATCATTACTTCAAATCATTATAAAATTATGACTGAATTATGTCATTACATGACTGTCTACATTATACAATAATAAAACTGTCTTCTTTTTCTTCCTACTTTTCTCTTCTCACCAGACTCCCCCTCCCAAAAGCAAATGTGTAATTCCTGAGAGCTGGTATATTTTTTTCTCCAACCCAGGGCTTTATTAAAGTAGTTTTATAGTTTTTTGACTCCTCATTCCCCCAGTAATGCTGACAGGATGGGAATGATGGGCTTTCATAAATATCTGTGATGCACCAAGCAGTGTGTTTAATTCTCATAACTGACCTACAGAGATTTTAATATTACAGGTGAGGAAACAAAGACTAAGGACATAATAAATAATAATGAGAAGAAGGTACATTTTGAGTACTCACTGTGTAAAAAACATTGTACTAGGAACTTCATGATCTTATTCTTTCAGTAATCCTATGAGGTAGATATACCTGTCCCTATTTTGCAGATGAAACAAAATGAGTTTTAGACAGTCTCAAGATCACATTCAAAGGTTTTGATCCTAAACATTATTCCTACCTCCTTGGGGAATTAAGAAAAATAAATCTTGTTAATTTACAAACTTAGTATCTATAGTAGACAATTAAATGGTTTGCCTACAAGATTATAGGCTACTTTGTTAACTTTTCTATTGAAAAATCAAGAGCAGTTGGCTTGGGTTCTGAATTTTGCTGGTTTGTATAAGCATGGCATGAACAATATATCTTGGTTTTAATTTTCACATATGCTGAAATAGCTTTTAGCAGCAAGCTCATTTCACTAAACTTGATTTTTGTAGTCCGAGCTAAGTTTGTTAAGATACTTTTTTTCCCTGCAAAAATAATGGATGTGGCAGATATCTATTTACTTTGAAGCTCTGAGAGTGTCTTCAATTATCAGTATTTCCTCAGGGCAGTCACTGGTTTCAAGTTTTTTATAACCCAATACATAAAAGAATCTATTAAGCAATTAATTACAGTTCATTCACATAGTTACTATAGTTGATAGTCTATAAAGGGGAAGACAACAGGCTGAAACAAGACCATGATGCTCCTGACTTATTTCTCTCCTTTCCCCCAAAAGAAGATTCTATTGGTAGAATTTTTCTTGAAATATTGAGGGCACCAGAGGTAGCATGTTACAATGTAGTGGTGTAGATGGATATAGAGAAAAGAGCTGGGAATAGAAGAATCCACTAGAATAGGATTTTGAAGATCAGGGGATGGGGGTAGGGAGGGGGTGTCAGTGGATCTAGGGGATATGTTTTTAGGTAGGATTTGAAAAACAGGTTGGGAGATGGAGTGAAGCCTTAGATTCTAACCACCAGAGTGTGTTGTAATTTGATAGAGAGAGAAAGATAAGTAAAAAGAGCAGTGGACTTTACTGATAGATTTAGATTTGATTTGGGTGACCTAACTTGTCTGAATAGGTTTGCTTCTCTATAAAATAGAGGTAATAATAGCTTCGTAGAGTGGCTCCAGCTGTAAGAGTGAAATGAACCTGAAGGAACTCAGTAAATGTTTGTTGAATCTGAATTGAAGTACTCAATAAATGTTTAAAAGACTGAGGAAACTCTATAGATATGCCAGTCAGGAGTCAGGTCTTAAATCAACAGATAGTTATAGTGGATACATATACCTATCTAAGAGATAGTTATGAAGGATACATACTAAAGAGTGGACTGATAGCTCAGGTTGAATGTAAGAAACCGAACAAAAGTAGGTAATGGAGGTGGGAGGTTAATAAACTTGACAACAGGCAGTTCTTTGTCTTAACTTAGGAAGTTACTGGTGTGCCAAGCATGGCCAAGTTAGAGCTTGTCTGTGGATGTGTGATACCTCTTGTTTGGTGCCTGTAGTAGAGAAACAAACTAAAAGACAGATCTTGACGGGGGAAGATGTACATGCGTGTACATACATGTACGTGCATGATGTTAAAAATTCAGGATAACAGAATGTCCTGTGTCTTAACTTTTTTGGGGGGAATATTATACTGTTTCTTGGGAATATATCATGGGATGATTTTTGTTCCACCTCTTGAGATTATCCCTTTAGATTATCACTTCATCAATATTTTCTGATTCTATATTAGGTAATATGTCATATTATATACATGGGTCTTTTGGCTAATGAATCATACAAGAAGAATCCCACCTGACATCATTGCTACTCGTACTGCCTTTAGGGAAGTTATAATAGACATTTATCATTCATTCTGAGTGGCAACATCTGGGCTGTTTTTTTGTGTTTGTAGAATCGTCCTTCCTCCCCCTTTTAATTTATAGAATTTATTTTTATAGCAGTTTTAGGTTTATAGAAAAATTGAACAAAGAATTTCTTTCATACCACATCTTCCACACAGTTTTCTCCATTAACATTTTATATTGGTGTGGTACATTTGTTACAGTTAATGAGCCAACATTTATAAAAGTTCCACAGTTTACATTAAGGTTCATTCTTGGTATTTTATAGTTCTGTGGGTTTTGATAAATGTATAATATCTTTTATCACCAGTACATTATTATAATGAATAGCTTCCCTACTCTAAAAATTCACCTGTACTCTATCCATTCCTTTCTCCATCCCCCTTTCCCCAACTGTGCCCCCCTCCTTTGGCAACCACCAATACTTTTACTGTTTCTGTACATTTCTCTTTTCCAGAATGTCATTTTGTTGCATTCATACAGTATGTAGCCTTTTCAGACCAACTTCTTTTCACTTAGCAATATGGTCTAGACAATTTCTTTTTGTGGCTTAATATCTCTTTTTTATTATTGGATAATATACTTCATTGATGAATATACCAGTTTGTTGATCCCTTCACCTGTTGAAGGACAGCTTAATTCCAGTTTTTAATAATTATAAAATAGAGCCACTTTAAACATTCATATGCAGGTTTTTGGATGGATATAAGTTTTCAACTCAATTGGGTAAATACCTAAGAGCATGATTGCTGGATTGTATGGTAAGGCTATGTTTTAACTTTGGTAGAAATTGCCAGCCTGTTTTCCAAAACAGCTGTACTATTTCACATTCTCAAGCATGTGCTTAATTTGAGATTATATCCTTTCCTGATAGAGAAGGTAAAGCATTCATAAGTGCTTGTGCTGCCCTGTTAGAGCCTCCACATCTGTGTTAGGGAATTTGAGCTTCAAGCACCATGAAATTTTCCCAGCTCTGTGCATTGTTGTTGCCATCAAAAGAAAAGTTCACATATTTTGGTTTCTTGTGTGGTTCAGTGTTTCCTAAGTTAAGGTATGCCTTCTCTAATTTCTGTTTACTTATCACTATCACCCAAAAGGAATGAATGCATTTAAACTTTGAATTAAGATCTGTCAAAACTCAGCCTCTTAGCCTTTTTTTTTCCCCCAGAATCTTCTCCATTTCATTAATCTTTTGTTACTTTATTTTGTAATTGTCTCACTTTACCTGCAGGCTTTTAATTTATGAATGTGGCAGGGTAATAACATGGAGAGGCTAATATTGAAAGAATTTTTTTACTTCTGTATCCTAAAGAAGGGGGTGCAAAATGCTATACCATACCATGGGGAAAGCTTCAGGTTTTGATCATGAAGCAGAATAGGAAAAAAGCATAGCCCAAAAGCCATTATTGTGTTTCTGCAGGAAAGGCAAAGCAGGGTAGAGTAACAGCTTAGGATTGGCTCGTTTTAGTAACTGTGGCAGACAAAAAACAAGTGTTAGTGAGGACACAGAGTAAAGGGAACTCTTATGCACTGTTGGTGGGAATGTAAATTGGTCCAGCTGCTTTGGAAAATAGTCTGGAGGTTCCTCAAAAAATTAAAACTAGAACTACCATGTGATCAGCAGTTCTACTTCTAGATATTCATCTGAAGGAAATGAAATAACTCAAAAAGTTATCTGCACCCTCATGTTCATTGCAGCATCATTTACAGAAGCCAAAACATGGAAACAATCAATCTTAAGTGTCCCATCATTGGCTGAATGGGTAAAAAGAAGTTGCGGTATGTGTGTGTACACACACACACACACACACACACACACGTACAGTAGAATAATATGCAGTCATAATAAGAAGGAAATCCTGCCATTTGCCACAATATGGATGGACCTTGAAGGCGTTATGCTAAGTAAGTCAAACAGAGAAAGACAAGTATTGTATAATCTCACTTATATGTAGAATCTTAAAAAACAAAACAAAACCTCAGATACCTTACTTGAGTATATGGTAGAACTTATTCAGTGAAGCCTTTTGGGCCTAGAGTTTTCTCTAAGTATAGAAATGGTGAAGTAAATCAAACTCACGCTATCAATACTTTTGTGTTAAGTTTGGAAATGAGTATTGATATTACTGAGATAGTCTGTATATATTTGTTATTTAAGCAGTATTAAGGTGTTTAAGAAAATTTGAGTTTTATTATATTTATAAATTAGAACAATTTAAACATTTAAAATTGTGATACACATTTGAAGTATTTAAAATAAATACATTAATCTTACTAATGCAGATTAAAATGTTTAAGAGGAGCAAACCTGGAAAAAGAAAATATTATAGTAATAGATAAAATAGAAAACTTGGGTTAAGGTCCTATTACTGATGTACAGTTTGAGAAATATTAGGGAGGTGGAATTGACTGGAATTGATGAACAGCTAGCCATAGAACAAAACTGGGA